GCAGCAGCAGCAGCAGCAGCAGCAGCAGCAGCAGCAGCAGCAGCAGCAGCAGCAGCAGCAGCAGCTAGAGGAGCAGGGGGGCCTTGTGTGCGAGCCACCAGCGGCGGAGCTGTGGGGCGTCGACGCGGCCGTGGGCGTCTGCGGGGAAGTCCGGCAGCAGAAAATCGGAGTTGGAGAAAAATTGGAAATTCGGAGAAGTTTTTTGGAGATCTTTTTGAGAAATAAATCCATTTTGCTGCAGCAGCAGGGCCTGCAGCAGCGCGTCGAGCAGCAGCAGCTGCTGCTGCAGCAGCAGCAGCAGCGCGGGGTCGCAGCGCGCAGCAGCAGCGCGCAGCCGCCACGCTGCTGCTGCGCCCCGCAGCAAATTCAGCAGCCCGCACAGCAGCAGCAGCAGCCCCGGAAGGAACTGCAGCAAGTTCCAAACTTTGCGAAAAGAAATCCAAAAAGAAGAAATATAAATCTGCAGCAAGCCGCGGCCCCAGCAGCGCAGCAGCAGCGGCAGCTGCTGCTGCAGCAGCAGCAGCAGCGCGCGCGCCGCGCGCGCCCTCCTGCTGCTGCTGCTGCTGCTGCTGCTGCTGCAGCAGAATTCTGCTGCCAGCAGCAGCAGCGCCCCCAGCAGCCCGTAGATGTTCGCCAGCATTTCCGCAGCACTCAGCGACAGCGCCAGCGTGGCCAAGTCGAAGGCAGCAGCAGGCAGCAGCAGCAAGCAGCAGCAAATGCTGGTCCAGCGCAGCAGCAGCGGCTGCTGCTGCTGCTGCTGCTGCTGCAGCAGCTCCAGGTACTGCGCAGCAGCAAACTGCTTCGACTTCACACTCCGCTTTGCTGCGCGACGCGCCAGCAGGTGCCCCCGCGCCACTGCGGACTTCAGCTTCCCCCGCAGCGGCGTCTTCTCGTCCGCTGCTGCTGCTGCTGCTGCTGCTGCTGCTGCTGCTGCTGCTGCTGCTGCTGCGGGAGGCGGCGAGGCCGAGCGCGGCTCGCCCTCCACCGGCACTGCGAACTGCTGCTGCTGCGAAGAATCGGAGTCCGACATTTTCCAGTTTGCAGCAAAAACTATCTTTAATTGCTGCTGCTGCTGCTGCTGCTGCTGCTGCTGCTGCTGCTCGAGCTGCAGCAGCAGCAGCAGCGGCGGCAGCGGCGGCCGAAGAGTGCAGCGCGCCACCCGCGAAAATAAATCGAAACTTGGAAAGATCTTTTCTTTTATTTTCAAATATTTAATTTTAATTTATTTTTGAATTAATTTTAATTTATTTTTCGAAGCAAATCAAACAAATCCAAGAAGGCCGCCAGCTGCAGCCGCGGCCGACCACTGGACCGCGGGAAGCTCCGCTGCTGCTGCTGCTGCTGCTGCTGCTGCTGCTGCTGCTGCTGCTGCTGTTCAGCTTTATTGTCTGCATTGTTTGGGTTTTTTTGGTTTATTTTTTATTTTTTATTTCTTTAAAATGTTTTATTTCATTGAAAGAAAAAATAAAACTCAAATTCGACTTCGCCGCCGCCGCCGGCTTGCACGGGCGGTTGGGGTGTACGTACACCTCGTCGATTGAAGCCGCCGAAAGCTTTCGTTTTGCATTTAATTTCATTTTAATTAATTAATTAATTAATTAATTAATTAATTTACTTTTTTTGTTTTAAAGTCCGCAGTTGGGAGTTTCTGAAGCATTTAAACGAAAATAAAAAGAAATGGAGAAGTTTAATTGCTTTGGAAAAGATTAAAGACTTCAAAGATGCTTCAAAACACGCACTCGACTTCTGCAGAAAAAATGCCAATAAACCCTAAACCCTAAACCCTAAACCCTAAACCCTAGACCCTAAACCCTAAACCCTAAACCCTTACAGGTGCAAGCTCACACACGGGAAGAGAAAGGAAAAAATAAAAACGCCTAAAGTTCTGGAAGTAACTGTATCCACCAAATGACTCACTCTGGCCTAAACCCTAAACCCTAAACCCTAAACCCTAAACCCTAAACACTAAACCCTAATAAACCCTAAACCCTAAAGCACTCGTCTCAGCGCAGAAGGGGCGTTTAATAAACCTCAGCAACAATTAAAGAAAAATAAAAAATGGAAAAAAGAAAAAAAGAAAAAAATGAAAAAATGAAAAAAAGAAAAAAAGAAAAAAAAGGAGAAGTAAAGGCAGAAGCTCGCAAGTGTCTGTACACTCCAATTCCACAGCAGAAGGCCTCGAGGAAATAAAAAATAAAATTTGGAAGTGAAGATTTTAATTTAATTTAATTTAATTTAATTTATTTTATTTTAATTTAATTCAATTAAAATGCAGCATTTCTTTTTAAATTCAAAGTGCAAACAATAAACCAATCTGTTCCAGAGAATGCCCTTTGCGCCAGCTATCCCCTTCAGCTTTAGGGTTTAGGGTTTAGGGTTTAGGGTTTAGGGTTTAGGGTTTAGGGTTTAGCGTTTAGGGCTTTAAGGGACCATACAAATAAAGCGTGTAAGCTTCAGCGGGCGCGGCAGCTAGCCACAGCTAGCCACAGCTAGCCACGGCTAGCCACAGCTAGCCACGGCTAGCCACAGCTAGCCACAGCTAGCCACAGCTAGCTGTAGCTAGCTGCAGCTAGCTGTAGCTAGCTGTAGCTAGCTGCAGCTAGCTGTACCTAGCTGTAGCTAGCTGTAGCCGGTCACAGCTAGCCACGGCTAGCCACAGCTAGCTACAGCTGTCCACAGCTAGCCGCAGCTAGCCATAGTCAGCCACAGCGAGCTAGAGCTAGCTACAGCTAGCTACGGCTAGCTGCAGCTAGCTGTAGCTAGCCACAGCTGTTGGCCTGGCTAGCTGTATATAGCGAAGGCAGCTGTGGCTAGCTGTATCTGAGTTTGGCTAGCTGCCGTTGCCTGCAGCTAGCCACATCTATTTGGGTCTCCCTTTTGGCTAGCTAAGACTCAGCACAAAAATGTGAATAGCTATGGCTAGCTGTGGCTAGCTGTGGCTAGCTGTGGCTAGCTGTAGCTAGCTGTGGTTAGCTATGGCTAGCTATGGCTAGCTATGGCTAGCTATGGCTAGCTATGGCTAGCTGTGACTAGGTGTGGCTAGCTGTGGCTAGCTGTGGCTAGCTGAGGCTAGCTATGGCTAGCTGTGGCTAGCTGTGGCTAGCTGTGGCTAGCTGTGGCAAGCTGTGGCAAGCTTAGAAGCTGAAGCAAACCAGCTAGCTAGCTCTCTAGCTAGCTATCCAGGGGCTAGCTGTAGCTAGCTGCAGCTAGCTGTAGCTAGCTGCAGCTAGCTGCAGCTAGCTAGCTACAATGCCACACAACTGGCTAGCTGCTGCTGCTGCTGTGGCTGGCTGGCTGCAGCTGCCGCTGCAGCTGCTGCTGCTGTTGCTTCAAAAGTTACGGCTGCAGCTGTTGCTGCAGTTGCTGCCGCTGCTGCTGCTGCAGTTGCTGCTGCTGCTGCAGTTGCTGCTGCTGCTGCTGCTGGAGTTGTTGTTGCTGCTGCTGCTGCTGCTGGAGTTGCTGCTGCTGCTGCAGCGAGGTGAGGCGGCGGAGAGCTCGGCGCGCTGCAGACAGAGTCCAGGGAAGCAAATAAGAACAAAAACTTTTAAAATAAATTTAAGATTAATTTAAAATGAATTTAAATTTAATTTAAATGAATTTAAATTTAATTTAAATGAATTTAAATTCATTTAAATTCATTTTGAATCTTCCGGCGCTTCAAACGCTTCATTTTGATGTGCTGAGGTGTACATACACCTGAAATCGAGGCCGGGGCTGCAGCCGCCAAAGCCCCGAGGGCCCCACACTCTAAACCCTAAACCCTAAACCCTAAACCCTAAACCCTAAACCCTAAACCCTAAACCCTCAAGATCTTCTTTTTCTGTTTTGTTCTCGCGCCGCCACTCCCTCTTTCGCTCGAGCAGCAGCAGCAGCAGCAGCAGCAGCAGCAGCAGCAGCAGCAGCAGCAGCAGCAGCAGCGCGAGCAAACAGAAAAGGGAATAATACATTTATTTATTTATTATTATTTATAATTTATTTATTATTTTAAATTTATTTATAATTTATTTCCTTTCAATTCTTTTATGATCCACTCAAGCCCAAAAAGACCCAATGCGAGCCCAGCGCCTGAGACCTAGGGTTTAGGGTTAGGGTTTAGGGTTTAGGGTTTAGGGTTTAGGGTTTAGGGTTTAGGGTTTGCAATGGAGGAGGAAGTGCCGGTGTTGACTTTTTTCAAAGTCAACAAAAAAGGAAAAGCCCGAAAAGTCTCCAAAGAGATTTACTTAAGAGATGACGTTTGCTGCGGCATTAAGGGCTGCTGCCACTGCCCCCCCAGCAGCCAAACCAGTAAACCCTAAACCCTAAACCCTAAACCCTAAACCCTAAACCCTAAACCCTAAACCCTAAACCCGGAGCCCTAGGCCCTGTGCGGCGTGGGGTCTGGCGCTGGCTGCGGCTGCGGCTGGTCAGCAGCAGCTGGACGCGCCAAACCCTAGCAGCAAACCCTAAACCCTAGCAGCAAACCCTAAACCCTAGCAGCAAACCCTAAACCCTAGCAGCAAACCCTAAACCCCAGCAGCAAACCCTCGCCGCTGCTTGCTGCCCTCCACGCCTCAGCCCTCCCCCCGCCTCCAACCCAACCTGCACCTCCTGCTGCTGCTGCTGCTGCTGCTGCTGCTGCTGCTGCTGCTGCTGCTGCTGCTGCTGCTGCAGGCTGTCTGCGGGTGCCCGCCGAAACAACATTTAATTTCCCCACAAACTGGGGAGTGAATTATATTTATTTTTTATCATTTATTTATTCATTTATTATTTATTTATTTATTTATTTATTTATTTATTTATTTATTTATTTATTTATTTATTTTCTTCTGCAGGTTAGGGCGAAGAACCTGCAGGTGTACGGACGCCTGAAGCGCCTCTGCATGAACAGCAGCAGCAGCAGCAGCAGCAGCAGCAGCTGCAGCAGCAGCAGCAGCAGCAGCAGCAACGAAGCAGCAGAAGTTCCGGAAAAGAACTTTTTTCTTTTTCCAAATGAATTCTTCAGAGAGACTTTTACTCTCCCCGAAGACAGTGAGCTGTTGCTGCACTTTCGCGTTCTCATTTCATTTCATTTGGCACTTAGCTAGCTAGCTAGCTAGCTAGCCAGCTAGCCAGCTAGCTAGCTAGCTAGCCAGCTAGCTAGCTAGCTGGCTAGCTAGCTGGTTTTGCTGCCTGGTTTTGGGTTGTTTATTAGCTAGCTAGCTAGCTTTATTTGTGGAATGGCCACTTAGCAGCTAGCTGGCTAGCTAGCTAGCTAGCTAAATGGCTAGCTAGCTAGCTAGCTAGCTAGCTAGCTATTTATTGGCCAGCGGCCTAGCTAGCCAGCTAGCTAGCTAGCTAGCTAGTCAGCCGATCAGCGAATCCGGTCCTTTCCTTTTCACTTATTCACTATTTATTTATTTATTTATTTATTTATTACTTATTTATTTATTTATTTATTTATTTATTTATTTATTTATTTATTTATTTATTTATTCATTTATTTTTATTTGCAGATGAAAGTTCGGAGGCGTACAGCGAGCGTTTGCTGTGCGTGTCTGCGCGTTGGGTGTCTAGACACCTGGAGGCGAGCTTTTCTTTCGGCGATTTTCGCGAAAAAGAAACCAAAAAAGACAAAACAAAAAATAAAAATGAAAATAAAACCGAAAATGGAGTCGAAATGCTCCAGTTTGAGCTCCAAACTCCCCAAAATGAGGAAGAAATCGAAAAAAACGACCCGGAAAAAGTCCTTCTGCTCCTCATGGAAGGCGAACACCTCCAAGTCCTGCTTTTCCCTTTTCCTTTTTTATTTTTATTTTATTTTTATTTTATTTTTATTTATTTTATTTTATTTTTATTTCTTTTTAATTTCTTTTTATTTCTTATTTTTATTTCTTTTTAATTTCTTTGTATTTTTAATTTCTTATTTTTATTTGTTTTTATTTCTTTTTATTTCTGTTTATCTATTTTCATTTCTTTTTATTTATTTTTGTATTTCTTTTTATTTATTTTTTTATTTATTTTTATTTCTTTTAATTTCTTTTTATTTCTTGTTTTTATTTCTTTTTATTTCTGTTTATCTATTTTGATTTATTTTTATTTATTTTATGTTTCTTTTTATTTCTTTTTAATCTCTTTTTTATTTATTTAATTTCCTTTCCATTTCTTTTAGTTCTTTTTTAATTCCCTTTTTGTCCTTTTTTGTATTTTGATTTTTTGCATCTTTTCTTTTTATTGTTTTTTGTTTAATTCTTTTTTCTTTTTCCTTTTCATTCCTTTGTTTGTCTTTTAAAAGTTTTTATCTTTTCAACTTTTTATTTTTTAAAATTCTTTCTTTTGATTTAGTTTTAATTATCCTTTCAATTATCTTTTTATCTTTTAATAACTCTTTAATTCTCGTTTATCTTTTGATTTTCTTTTCTTTATATTCCTCTTTCCTGATTTTCGTTTCTTTAATTTTCTTTTTAATGAATTTTCTTTTAATTAATTTTCTTTTAAATTAATTTCTTTTTGTTTTGCATTAAATTGTTTTATTCCATTTATTTATTTTCTTTTAATTAATTTCCTTTTATTTCATTTTAATTTAAACAAATTCTTTTATTTATTTTCTTTTCAAGCTTTCCAATTACTTCCAACCCGCCTTTTCTTCTCCTTTTTTTCCCAATTAACTAATCCATTCATTCATTATTATTTATTATTTATTTATTTATTTATTATTTATTTTTTATTTATTTATTTATTATTTATTTATTTATTTATTTATTTATTTATTTATTTATTTATTTTTAGGAGTTGGCGAAGAAGTGGGGCCTTTGTTGCAAATCCATAAAAGACTTCCTCGATTTCGTCCGCCCGAAATTTCCTTTCGCCGGAGAACAACTTCCAGATGTAACTTTTATTTTATTTTATTTTATTTATTTATTTATTTATTTATTTATTTATTTATTTATTTATTTGATTTATTTTATTTATTTATTTATTTATTTATTTATAGTGTTTGTTTTATTTGTTTTATTTGTTTGTTTGTGTTTTTATTTTATTCAGTTTATTTGACTTAGTTTTATTAATTTGATTTGATTTATTTGATTTGATTTGATTTGAGTAATTTGATGCAACTTAATTTGATTCGCTTATTTACTTATTTATTTATTTTATTATTTTATTTATTTATTTATTTATTTATTTATTTATTTATTGTTTACTGTCGTTGATATCTTTCAAATGTTTTAATTTATTTTAATTGCTTTCAATTTCTTTTAGTTGTTTTAATTAATTTTAATTGCTTTAATTCCGTTTAATTGTATTTAATTACTTTTCATTGTTTTTAATTGCTTTTAAGTCCTCTCAATTCTTAACTTTTTAAATTATATTAAATTATTTTAAATTGTTTTTAATTGTTTATAACTGTTTCAGTTGCTTTTAATTGTTTTTAATTGTTTTTAATTGCTTTAAGATGCGTTTAGTTGCTTTTAATTATTTTTAATTGATTTTAATTGTTTTTAATTGATTTTAATTGTTTTTAATTGCTTTTATTATTGCATTTAATTGCATTTAATTGCTTTAATTTGCTTTTAATTGCTTTTTGTGTTCAGTTTATTTCCGAAAAGAAGGCCCTGGACTCAAAAGTGATATTTGAATTTCATTTAAATGAAAAAGAAATTCAAAAAAAAATTAAAAATCAAAAACTCAAAAAAGGAAAACTCAAAATGCACCCCGACTGCTGCTGGAGAGGCACTGTTGTCTGCGCTGGTAATTAAATATTTATTTATTTATTTATTTATTTATTTATTTATTTATTTGTATTTATTTATTTATTTATTTATTTGTATTTATTTATTTATTTATTTATTTATTTAAATTATTTAGTTGTAACTGGTGATTGTAAATAAAAAAAAGAAATGTTTGTAACTTGTCTGGTTTTTGAATTTCATTTAAGTTTCTTTTTTGTGATGGGCAAAAAGCAGTTTTATTTATTTATTTATTTTAATTTAAATTAACTAATTTATTAATTAATTAATTAATTAATTAATTAAGTTATTTATTTTGTTCTATTTATTTGTTTTATTTAATTTGTTTTTATTTATTTGGCGAAGGGGAGGAGATAAAGATAATAGGAAGGCGAAATCTGAACAGAGCTTTTGAAGGAGACATAGTTGCTGTTGAGTTGATTGAGGAAGAGACACAAAGCAGCAGCAGCAGCAGCAGCAGCAGCAGCAGCAGCAGCAGCAGCAGCAGCAGCAGCAGGAGTTTGGAGGAGCAGCAAAGAGAAGAAAAACGCAAACTTGAGGTGTATGCGGAGCTTTTGGAAACTGAAGACGATCCCCTTCTAAACGATCCCGAGTGGGAGTCGCCCGATCCCGATCCCAGCAGCAGCAGCAGCAGCAGCAGCAGCAGCAGCAGCAGCAGCAGCAGCAGCAGCAGCAGCAGCAGCAGAGCCGGTATTTTGGAAAAAGAGGGAGATGAGGAGGTGGAAATGAAAGACAGAAATAAAAAAAGAAAAAGTGGAGATGAAAAAGAAATAAAAGAAGAAAAAGAAAAAGAAATAAAAGAAAAAGAAATAAAAGAAAAAGAAATAAAAGAAAATGAAATAAAAGAAAATGAAATAAATGAAAATGAAATAAAAGAAAATGAAAAAGAAAATGAAAAAAAGAAAAAAGAAAAAAAAGGAAAAGTTGTCGGAATTATTCAAAAAGGCAGAAGAGAGTTTTTCGGGTCTTTGAAGCCTTTGGATAAAACCCGAGGCAAGTTCAATAATTAAGTTAATTTAATTAAATTAATTTAATTAATTTAATTAATTTAATTAAATGAAATAAATTAATTAAATAATTAATTAATTAGTTATTTATTTATTTAATTGTTTAAATGAATTATTTGATTAAAATTCATCAAAATGTTCATTTTTTGTTTTTAATTTTTAACTTTCGCTCTTTTACCGCCTTTTCCGCACAAAAAACCAATTCCAATTCTTTGTTTTCAAAATAAATAAATAAATAAATACATAAATAAATAAATAAATAAATAACTTAATTAATTGGTTAATTGGTTAATTAATTAATTAATTAATTAATTAATTAATTAATTATTTTTATTTTTTTATTTTTTTTTCAGCTTTATCTTCTTCGGCGTCGATAGAGCGGATTTTTGTGCCTGTCGATCCTCGGATTCCAAACATAATCATAAAAGTAATTTATTTATTATTTATTATTTATTTATTATTTATTTATTTGTTTATTTATTTATTTGTTTATTTATTATTTGTTATCTATTTATTATTTATTTATTTATTTTTGATAGAAAGGATTGGAAGAATAAAAGACTTTCTCGTTTAATAAATAAATAAATAAATAAATAAACAAATAAATAAATAAATAAATAAATTAATTAATTAATTAAAAATCTTTTTTTGAATTTGGAAGTCCAAGTGCACTTTGAATCATTTTTAGCTTTTGGCGTTTTTGTTCGTTTTCGGTGAATTTTGGGTCTTTTTTTTTGATTTTAATTGCAATTGAATTCCCAGTTGCTTCCGCATCATCTCCAGCTTTCATTTAATTCTTTTTCCGCTTTTTTGGACTTCTTTTGGACTTCTTTTGGACTTCTTTTGGACTTTTTTTGCTTTTTTTGACTCTTTTTCCCACAGACCCGCCAGTCCAAAGAACTCGACGGCAAAAGAATCGCCGTCGCCGTCGACGCCTGGGCCCCCACGCAAATGCTCCCCCGGGTATTTTTTGATTTTTTAAACCCTTTTTAAACCCTTTTTAAACCCCTTTTGAACCCTTTTTAAACCCTTTTTAAACCCTTTTTAAACCCTTTTGAGGCCCTTTTTAAACCCTTTTTAAACCCTTTTTTAAGCCCCTTTTAAACCCTTTTGAGGCCCTTTTTAGACCCTTTTTAAAGCCTTTTTTGAACCCTTTTTAAACCCTTTTTAAACTCTTTTTAAGCCCTTTTTAAACCCTTTTGAGGCCCTTTTTAAACCCTTTTCAAGCCCTTTTTATCCCCTTTTTAAACCCCTTTCAAAGCCCTTTTGAAGCCCTT